CATAGGGTTTGGCAATCCAACTACTGCACAAAATCGTGAAAGTTGCTCATGCCCGATACCGACGGCACGCGCTGCAAGCACCACTTTCAGGTTCACGGCAAAGGCGTCACGCGAACTCCCGCTGTCGTAGCTTCTGCTTGCACCGCGGCCGCCATCTGACGCGACCCGCTTCGACGAGTACGCGGACGAAAGGATGCTCTCCGAGCACTCCGCATTCTCGCAGTGTAGCTCCAGAAACGCCGAAAGGCCTTTCCGCTTTTTATTCGGTGCCCGAACTGCGAGTTTACTCTCGTGACAAACGGGGCATGCCGCGCCTGCGACGACGGCCGTCAATGCACCCAACTCGCACAGCACTACGCTTTCGGCACGATCGGCATTCGGCCTGACGTCGTTTTCGAATGACGCGATCTTTTTCTGCGATGCACTCACAAAATTCACTGCAGCGTTGATCTCGTCGTCGCAGTTGCCATGGTCGACGTTGCCGTGGTCGATGTTAGGCCTACCGGCCGCTGGCCCGTCGCGGACATTTTCGTTGGCGGTGGCTTTCTTGTACGTCCTCCGCCGCTTCCCTCTGAACTTGTTCTTACTTCTGTATTTCCGATGGTCGGCAACGGCCTTTTTCGGGCTTGCCATCGCACGAAAACAGCGAAAAATAACTCCGGAAAACAGTGAAGCGAACTACGGCAAGAAAACACGGGTGCTGTCAGCCAATGGCGGCCCTGCGTTAGTGGCGCGCGGTTTGAAACGGCGGGAAAAGACTGTTTTTGTTGCTTTTTTTTAGATTTTTCGTGAACGTACGAGACTTCAAGAACCGGGATCGTGGAGAGTAAGGACAACTCTACACGAGCCAGCGGCCGCAATATGGCGGACAGCTCTCTTCGCGGCCCCGCGAGCACGCGAACAGCAGCCCGTTTTGTGTAAATTTCGTGATGCCGCGCGTCACTGCCGCTCACTCAGACGCGTTTTTCACTGACTTCTGATGCTTATTTCGCTGTGATATTTTCAGATGTCAAAATATAATGTATAAAGATGATAAAGCAACAAAAAACAGAAAAGGTGAAATTTGGAAAAAAAACGCGACTTTTCGACCCGCGTCTCCCCTTAAGGGGAGATGCTCCTCGAAAAACTTTTTCTTCAGATATTTGTGACAGCTCAATGAAACTTTCACCAGTTATAGAGCTCAAGCTCCCCTTTTCAAGTCTGCTTTTATTTTTTTCATGGCACATTTAGTTAATTTTTCACAGACCATGCATTTGCAAAAACAATGCATGTTTGTGCAAGCTTAGGCAATAATAGTAAGCACAAGAAAGCTCTAAGAATGTTGCTCCTAATGAATTGCAGAATTCAATAAAGCAAAGAAACATTGTGTAACATTTGTGTGCTGGCCTAGAAAAAAATTCTAATGCCAAGTTTGAGTTTCATCATACTCAAGGAACAAGCTCCTGAAATTATCTAGCTGAATATGCTTTGGAGACCTCTGAAAGTTGTTCATTTGAATTCAGGACATGTTAAACTTTAAGCATGCCAAGTTTCATTGCAATCCGACTACATAAAGCGTACAAGTTATAGCGCACGCACAAGCTCTAAATATGCCGAAAAAGGGGGGCCAAGAAAGAGGTATGAAAGTTCAAAAACATGTTTAATACTATACTCTTCAACCAATCTGCATGAATTTCACACAAAATGTCAGCAAAGCTATCTTGAAAAAGTTGACAGTTTCAGAATAATTCAGCCCTATAATTTGGACCCTTACAGTCTCTACAAGCTGCCTCCTCCCCACGGGCATTTTTTTTTTTTTTTTTCAGTACAGCAGCAATGGGTCGTTGCTCTCAGTCTCGTGTGAGGTTTTCGGCAGCGATACGCACTTTTTTTTTCTGCAAATGACAATTCTTGTGACGTACTGGTTTTTGAACACCAACGATTGCACAAAACTGCACAAGCTGCTCGTGTCCGACTCCGCGTGTGGTGCGACCACCCACTTCACACTCACAGCAAAGCTGTCCGATGCACTGCCGCTGGCGGACCTCTCCTCGCTTCCACTGCATGACGAATACACGCGGCTTGACGCATACGTGCACGAAACAACAGTTGCAGCACATGCGTAATTTCAGCGCTAAAGTTCTGAAAACGATGCCAGTCCTTATCGTCTACTTGCCATTACTCGAATGGACAGCTCGCACCGCACGCAGTTGGAGCATACTGCGTTGGTGACGAGGTTTGCATCGCATCGGTCTCACAAATAAGTGTGCTTCCGAATTCGTCCTGACACTTGCTTTAGTCGTCGAACATCTTTATCTTTCACTCTGGAGCACTGACGAAGTCATCGACGCTAGAAATGAAGCTCGAACAATCCAAATCGGATGCGTCGCGGCTGCCGCAGCTAGGTCTAGCAGCAGAGGAACCTCTCGCCGGCGCTCACTGCTTGCGTTTAGGGCGCCTTCCCTCGTACTGGTACCGCGTAATGAACTTCCGTAAACGAAAGTAGCATTTCTCGCTGGCATCCATGGTGCTGAACGAACTCCTGCGGTTGTGTCTGTCAATGTCTCGACAAAAGCAGAACGAAGAAAGCGCTCGCATCCGTTTGCGGGCGGACTGCTCGCAACCAATGGCAGGGCTCCGATCATACCACGCGACTTCGAAGGCCTGCTCGCCACACTAAAATGCAGTGGGAAAACAATTTTTTTTGTTGTATATTTAGTGTGAATGCCGCTCTGCCGAAGTGGACTCTGGGAGAAGAGGGTTGGGCCTACATGCCCGCGAAATTTCAAGACCCGGGGATGCCGTAGAGCGAAGTGCCGCAAGCGCGAAAATCGAGGGATTTTGCACTTTCACGAGCCGCTACGAGTGCTTTAATTGTATTTTTCGATAACCTCTAGTTGATGCTCAACTTTGTTTTTTTTAATATATTAAGGAGAAGGCTTGGAGTTATATAAAACACAAAAAAACACAAAATCGGCTTGTTCAAAAAAATCGCGGTTTTTCGACCCACATCTCCCCTTAAACCGCAAAGAGTTTCGTTGATTTGGTACCAAACCGCAACTTAGACTCACGCGACCGCTACCGATCGAAGCGCAACCAACACCGATTAGGCCTAGCTTGCTGTTTGGTGGCGGAAAGCTTGCCCAAAACACGAGTATTCGGCGTTAAAAAGATTGCACTAATAATGAACCAATAACCGCATGCGTGATACGAGGTTCGCGTTCGCTGCCGAAATATCAGCAATGACAGCAAAAGTGAAAGCTCGAGTCATGAAACCGTAAAAGGTTTTCAATTAACGAACGAGGAAGCTAATGCAATATTTATTGCAAGCGCAATAACGATGACGTCTACACCGACAAGAAACTGTTAAGCACGTGCAGTTGATAGGACGGGATTGCACATGCCACGTTGAGCGGCACGCGGCCGAAGCCACGCCAGCGACGTAGTACGCTGTAGCCATGTCGGTGCCGTTGCAAAGGCTTGTCGGTCACCGAGGCAAACGTCCTCCTCCCTTACTCGGCGAGCCCGCACAGTGCCCCGCGGTCTTATTTTTTATCTTATTTTTTCTTCCCTCCGCCATTCATTCGTTCCCTCCTTGTTCTCTCCTCCTCCGTTAATGACCTCGTCGTTCGCTCCCCAGCGAAGCACCCAGAACTACTCGCTACCGCATTTGTCACAAACAATCTCCGGCAACTGCATTATAACCGGTCTTTCATCTTGGGGGACTGCACAATAAGCGGTATGCGTATACATGGCATTCTATGGAAGGGTAAACGGGAGTAGAAAAAGACCGCATTGTAAGCCGTTCTGCACTATAAGCAGTTACGTTATAAGTGGTCTACACTGTATTAGGCTGATGGACATTTAACACAAAATTGTCTGCAGTTGCCTTCTGACGAAGTTTACCATCCATCCCAGTCTTAGGCATAAGACCTAACACGTCTTGGTGGCTTTCACCTGCTGTCACCAATAGCGAACACAAAACTCGTCGACTTCGATGGGCCTACCGGCGACCTGTTGCCATTATTTAGTAGATGATAAATCGCTTTATACTTCAAAGCAGCCGTGTAGCTTCCGTATCTCCTCATAGCGTAACAACATTACAGACAAAACGTACAAAACACACCGCAATACGCACTTGCCATTTTGGCTTGGCTTGAATCTGCGTACAATAATACTACGCTTGATGCTTAAGACATGGCGCCAGATGGAGTGCGCTGTCATCATCAGTGACTGGAACGAGCAGACGACATTATTGCGGCAATTTTCAGGGGTGCGATAATTACTGGCGGAAAAAAAGAAATAATAATTTTGTTGGGCGATGGGAGGTGCGAGGATTACACAAGTAAATACGGTACATTCGAATCGACTTACAATCGTGTAAATATGACGATTTTCTATTTTTTTAAAAACCAGCGTTTTTTTGCAATTTTTGCTAACTTTTCACTACTTTGGGAAGCGCAACAAATTTTTAAAAGCACTTCTAGGCGGTTTTTAGTGTAGATATTTCTGTATCGAATAAAAGAGGGGCTAGAGAAACTGAAAATGTGATTTTGACAAAATCGATTTTTTGGCCATTTCTTGTGATACAAAAGCCGTGATAATCCACATGAAAATGTACCTATAAGACAAAAACTCTGTTGTAAAACCATACATTCTACAGGCCAAGCAAAACGAAATGAATTCACCAATCCTATTTTGTTAATTTCAGCAATTTGTTTTAAAACTGTTCATTATGTAATGGCTCAACAAACTCCCGTTAAGAGCATGTTGTTACTGTGCTTTCAAACAAACAAGGAAAACAAAAAGGCTAACCGAAGTGGAAAGAAAAATCTGGAGAGCCCCCCAATGAACAGGGAGAGAGTGGGGGGAGATGTATGTGCTTGAAAGTAATTTCGACCATTAGGGCAATTCCTTTAAAACCTACTAGGCGGTTCTTTACGAGGACACTAGAAGTGCACAACAGACCACGGAACATTGTTCTAGATCCCCCCAATAAGCAGCACCACTTCCACACTTACAGGCCCCACTTGGAGTGCAGTGCGAGAGCGGTGACTCCAGCAGGTGGCGCTAGCTGCAGCACAAGGTCGGGGTGGAATCCAGCCTCAGACTGGACGGCGGAGTTCTTCACTTGCAGGGCGTCGTGACCCTTCCACACAAAGCTGTCGCGGTCGCCCACAAAATTCAGCTGCACGGCCTGCAGGATTCATTGTTACCATCATTAATCACGCCAACATTATAGGCACTGTATGGGGAGAAAGATAGGTGGACTAATGTGTTTCAACCCAGACATAAGGTGCACCCGCTTTGAGCAGCAGCAGACAAGTCACACAGTGCATGCTGTAACAGCCTGCATATAACATTACGCTTTTCTTTCCCAATTGTAGCATAATCCGAGCCTCGCATCACTCTGACAACCAATCAAATTTCTGCACATATCTGTACTTTCGCTTTCTTAATCATGACTGCTATGTTGCCCTGCCACCACACTGACACTGCTGTTTGTTTCGTCGCAATCGACGAAACAAACTTATACAATCGAGGGCGCGGTAGAATCGATTAAATACGGTAACCACATCTGATTGCACTGCTTGAAAGAAGCCAAAATCGCTCTGCAATCAGCCCTGCAAGCAGCAACGACAGTGCGTAGGAGTTGCTAATGCTGGTATTGAAACACTGGTCGAATTCAATGCCTACTGACCTCGGGAGTGACTTCGGCCTCTTCCGGATTGAAACTGAAGCAGACCACTTGACCTGCGGTGCCGGCCACCACAAGGCGCCCCGTTTGCAGGCAGAAGAGGACCTTCTTCACCGCCAGGCGGGGGTCGTCACTGTACGGGTCAAATGTGCCCACCTGCGTGTCAAAAAAATGTGCGATAAAGGTGAGAGAGTGCCACAACAGTGCAATACATTTCCGAAAACAACTACTGCCTTCAGTTGCTATCAAAAAACACAAAGACTGCTATGACTGCAGTGCTTCTGGTCCTCTTGAGAGCAGCAAAACACAGCTGTGTCAATGCATTCAAAGCAATCAAAAGGGAGCTACATACAAAGGAACACGAAATCATTTTGGAATGGCCTATTATTAATGAAGAACCATTTTCTGAAATTTGTTGTAGTCAACTATTTTGTAAAGAAAGTTTAAAACATTACAGTAATATCACTAAAACCAACCACGTCAGTATCGTGTCAAAAGATGTCATAATATGTTCACACATGTGTGCATTTATTTATTCACAAATGATTTCAGCTTGTCTTCAGGTCAAATAACTTTGTCCATTCCTGATACACATTCAGCCCGAAGAGAATCTCGCAACACTCTCCGGCATCAGTCATATACCGTATACACGCGTGTAAGGGCCGCATCCCGTTTTTAAGAAGCACATATTCCAAAAAAAAAAGTTGTGTGTAAGGGCCGCATCCGCACTTTCCTTGACCCATGCGTATTCAAAATGCGCGCGCGTATGTGAGCTACTAGGCGTTGTCAGTAGATGGCGTTAGAGAACGCAATTCTCATCATCACCATATAGTACATCATTAGAATAATTTGTTGGTTTTCTTCATGCTAATATGTTCATGAAGTTGGCTAAAAATTTTTAGTTTTTTTAGTAGTGTTCATACACCCGCCAACTAAAGGTTAAAGCAGGATTTTATCTTTGACTTCTGACACTTCTATACAAACGCGCTATCCATATCGGCATTAGCATCACCAACTTTGGTGTTTGTGCGTTGTTCGGTCATTGTGCTGTTCAGCCTGCCATGTGCTCGAGTTTTGCGCACCGTTGAATGACTCTGGGACTCCAGCTAGTTTTCTGCGGGACGTTTACGTTTTCGCACGATGGGCAAACAGCTGAATAGCTATACAGCTGGCTATAAGTTGAAGGTGATGGAGTTTGCCCTCGAGCACGGGAAACGGGCCGCCGGCAGAAAATTCGACGTTGACGAGAAGTGTGTTCGACGTTGGTGCGCCCAGAAGAAAGCCTTGCAGAACACCAATATCAAAAAGCGCGCTTTCCGAGGAAAACAGTGCAAGTATCCCGATTTGGAAGAGGAGTTGCTCCGCTATGTGACTGAGGTGCGGAACGATGGTTTTGCGCTCACTACAGACATGCTGCGCATGAAGGCACTAGCCTTGGCACGTGCGAAAAATATACCGGCCGGGGATTTCAAGGCTAGTGCTGGCTGGGTGCGAAGGTTTATGAAAAGAAAGGGACTCTCTTTTCGGCGAAGGACCACGCTGTGCCAGCGGCTGCCAGAAGACTATACCGACAAGGTGCTTAGTTTTCACAAGCATGTCATCGGCCTGCGCCATCAGCACAGTTATTTGTTGTCGCAAATAGCGAACGCTGATTAAACTCCTGTGTGGTTTGACTCTCCCGAGAACTACACAGTCGAAGTAAAAGGCAAGAAGAGTGTCGCCGTGCGGACCACCGGCGCTGAGCGCCAACGCTGCATCGTGATGCTTTGTGTGACCGCGGACGGGCGGAAGCTACCCCCGTACGTTGTTTTGAAAAGGAAAAGAATTCCGAACGAAGTTTTCCCCAAGGGCATCATAGTTAGAGCCCAAGAGAAGGGATGGATGAACGATGATTTGGTGCTAGACTGGGTGAAAAGTGTTTGGCAGAACAGACCGGGAGCTTTGTTGGCCAAACATTCACTTTTAGTATTGGATAGTTTCCGCGGCCACCTTACCGATAAGGTGAAGGAGCAGCTGCGCCGTGTCGGCACAGACATAGCCGTGATTCCAGGCGGCCTCACAGGAATGTTGCAACCATTGGATGTGAGCGTGAATAGACCATTCAAAGTTGCATTCCGAAGACTCTACACGGAATGGATGGCAACCGGCAACCATGAGCACACGCCAACCGGACGGCTGAAGAGGGCACCGCTTGCTACTGTTCTCGGTTGGATATTGTCGGCGTGGAGCTCGGTGTCGACGGACATTGTGTCCCGAAGTTTTAAGGTCACTGGGATATCCAACAGCCTGGATGGCACCGAAGATGACTGTTTGTGGAATGATGGTGCTCCGCAACACACTATCTCGGACTCCGAGTTAGAGGACTCATCGAGTGACGACGATTTAGCGCTACGTGGCATACTGCAATAAACGCTCTTCGTTCACTAACTGGTACGTTGTTTTTAGTTCACCAAAAGAAGTTCCATGTATGGGCCGCAACCTGAAAATTAGCCCTCACTTCCTGAAAAAAAAGTGCGGCCCTTACACGCGTTTATACGGTAGATATGATGAAAGAATCTTTATGTGTCATCATCTTTCAAATTTCGCCGTTACCTCAGCTCATTGCGAGACTGGCACATTTGCCTTACCAAAAATGTGCTTCTGTTCTTGTGGTGTCCGGCCAAGCACCGCATTTGATCGAGTGGATAATGTGCAGGTGCACGAAATGAATAAAAAAGCATGCGCTGCATCTTGCCCAGCACTTATCGGGACCAGGCCATGCAAGGATAAACATGTGGCAACAAGCCCCTTTCGCTCCTCGGAAACTTGTCTGCTCCTTTTCGCATGAACCGATGCTGGCACAACAGTTCTCAGTTTAAGGAGCAGACTGATCTTAGACATTTTTTTGTTTATTTTTTCAGTAATCTTGATCAAATTGCACAGGCTTATGCAGTTTTTCCTGCCAATTTCAAATATTTAATTAGTTTTCCTGTAACTCATCTTGTTCCTGATATAACTTAAGTTCACCCCCTAATGTTTAAGGCTACCATAGAAAAAAAGAGTGCTTAATTAAAAGTGATATTTAAGATATGTCAACATAGACTAATGACTGTTGATCGAGATTTTTCTTTTTAGGCCTTTTTTATTTCACCGCAAAATTAACTATCCATTTTCAAAAGCACTTGTACTTGTTACAATTTTGATGAGTATTTAAGGGGGAAACGGGTCTTAGAAGGCCGAAAAATCGCGAAAGAAGCGACCTTCTGAAGCTGACATTTTCGAAATCTGTACCTATTTATGCACTTATTGTCGCTCGGGCAAGTGGTCTGTGCTCCGCCAAGGGCCATCGAATAAACATATCTACCGTGTCTTTGTTTAGCAAGTTTCCCCCAGTATACTCAAGCATTATGAAGAAAGGATATCTGAGATGACAATACCGTATTTACTCGCATAATAGGCGCACTTTTTTTTCAGAAAATCCGGCTCGAAGTTAGGGGTGCGCCAATTACGCGGGGTAAAATTTTCGAAAATTTTTTCAACTCGGTTCTCGCGCTTTAAATCTGCACACTTGTCAAGTAAAAGGCGACTTTATCGTTTACCAATTAATTCAGCATAAAACAAACATACCTACGTACCTTTTAATGAACAAGCGAGAGCCGTCAACTGCACACACACACGTAAAATTTATTTACACAAAAGTCGTAGCTGTTCCTCTTTTTCCCTATTCGGAGTCCGAGTCGGAGATCACACATTCATCCTCGCCGAGCGGGGATTCGCTTTCGGTGTCCGAATCATCCGCACCCCACAACATGTCATCCTCACTCGCATCCAGTGCGTTCGAGATACCCGTCTTCTTGAAGCTTTTCCTGACGACTTCGTCGGAGATCGTCTGCCACGCTTCCACAATCCAAGCGCACAGCATTTCCACAGGCGGCCTCTTAATCTTACCACCTGTAGTCAGCTGATGTTGTCCTCCAGCCATCCAGGTGGTGTACAGCCTTCGAACATTGTCCTTGAAAGGTTTATTCAAGGACACGTCCAAAGGCTGCAGTATCGATGTGAGGCCGCTCGGAATCACTGCCAGATCTGTGCGCAGCTCCTTTAGCTCATCTCGTACGTGGTCTACTAGGTGCCCACGAAAACTGTCCAGGACAAGCATGGACGGCAACAACAGACCACCCGGCCGCCGACCCCAGACTGTTTTCACCCAATCCACCATGAGTTCCGCGCTCATCCAGCCTTTTTCCTGGACTCTGACGTAGATGCCTTGAGGAAATTTTGCCTTTGGGAGCGTCTTACGTTTAAAAATAACGTAAGGCGGTAGCTTACGCCCATCCGCTGTCACTGCCAGCATTACGGTGCATCGTTTATCAGCGCCAGACGTTCTGACGATGACGCTCCGTGCACCTTTCTCCTCCACTGTCGTGTTCCACGGTCTATCAAAGCAAAGGGGGGTCTGATCAGCGTTGCCGATCTGGGACAAAATGAAGTCTTTCTGCTGTCGGAGCTTTATAACAAAACTGTGGAAGTCCACCACTTTGTCCTCATATGCTGCGGGCAAGCGCTGGCACAAGGTGGTCCGCCTTCGCAGTGCGAGGCCATGGCGCCGCATGAAACGAGTTGTCCATCCGGAGCTGGCTTTGAACTCTTTTGCTTCGATGCCCTGCGCTCGGGCTATTCTGCGCGCCTCAGTCTGCACAATATCCAACGACACAGCACAGCCGTCTTGTCGTAGCTCCCGTATATGCCGGACCAGTTGCTCTTCGACGTTCGGATACCTGCCGGTCTTGGCACCCCGGAAAGCCCGTCGTGTCTTCTTCGTCGCCTTAAGTTTTTCTTCTTGGTCCCTCCAGTACCAAATACTGGTTTCTCCAACGCCGAAATGCCTGCTTGCAGCCCGGTTGCCGTGCTCCAGCGCGTACTGCACTGCCTTCAGTTTAAACCCAGCTGTGTAGCTCGCGTACTTCCCCATGGTGGAACCAAAGTTCAATACACGACCACAACATACGCGCACCGCTTGCAAAATGGCGTTTCTTTCTTTTTCTCTGATGGTGGTGATGGCGATCGAGCCCCCGGCGTTGTACACGTGACCTCCAAAAAGCGCGGCGATTTGGGGGGTATCAGTAATTGATGGAATAGCCGTTTTTTTTTTTCGCTCATGGACGATTTTTTTTTTCAAGTTTTATTTTGACAAACACGTTGGTTAGGTCGTTGCACTTCGAATTTTTTTATTTGCTCGTCGATTTGCCTTCTTTTTTTCTTCAGGGCGTTCCAACTGTACCGCTGGGGGGTAGAATCGTTTCTAATCACGGCCAAGTTCGGTGTGCGCCTATTATGCGCGGAATTAAAAAAAATCGAATTTTCCGCGACCAAACTAGGGGTGCGCCTATTATGCGAGTGCGCCGATTATGCGAGTAAATACGGTATTTGTTTTCTTGATTTTCTCAAAATGACAATTTTGTACACCCTGTATGACAATTCCTGTAATATATCGGAAATTATTACAGATAGCAGAATAATTCTTTTTGCAGAATGAAGCTATATGTTTGGAGCACACAACATAGGAAGCAGATTTTAATATCTTTTAATGAAAGTTTTTAAAATTAGTCCGGTGTGACCACACCATGGCCACATTCGGAGTTACGAAGTTTAGTGTATTGTAATGTAAGAAATAGTGACCCAATAAAAAAAGTGCTTCCTATGTTGTATGTCTTATGCTTTTTACTGTTAATCTCTATGTCATTTGTAAACTTCTGACTGCTGGTTATTTTTCTATTGTGGTAAGAACAATAAAGATTGTTATCTTGATCATTTATTGAACTTATGAAGCTACAGAAAAAAATAACTACATTCTTAGAATCAGGAGAACAAACTGAGTAAGCACACAAACTGTCATCATATTGGGTTAAAAAATAAATGAGATATCTTATAGACCCATGTCCCCCTTATTTAAAAAAGCTTGTGCTCTAAATTCTGCTCTCATACTTGCATTCCACACACATACAGGTTTCCATTGCAGAAAGAATTATTGTTGTAGCTGTCCTAGGTGCAGATATATTGAGGCCTCAACATTGAACAGTCGTAAATTTACTTTTTTGAGAAAAACGAAAAAAAAACTAAAAACACACAGCTTCTTCAATAAGCAACGATCATGTTGCGCATGCATTGCAATCCTCATAAAGGTGCTCATAAATTCATAGCAGAGCTTCTAACACAAGTGCTGGCAAATCATGGAAGAAGCCTCGAAGTGAATTCCCCCCCCCCCCTTTTTTTTTCAGGTTCTGCATGTTAACATCACCATGAATCTGGACAGTTAGAATGACATTACAATAAAATTATCACTTCCTGATGAGTGAAAATTTGCAGAAATATAGAAAAATACTTGCAGAAACCAAATAGGTTCATTTGAAAACAACGAATTTTTTTTTGTCACTTTTTTGGTCCCACAGACCAGTCTACCCTGTATCAGCCTATTTAAAATCATTTAATAAAAGTGAAGATATTAATTAACACTTTAAGAGCCTAAGCTTATTTTGTGCCTCTTTTTATCATTGCAAGAGTTTCACGATAGGCAGGGCCCAACCCACTTTGTGGAAGTGCAGCCACTCCTCTTCCTCCTCCTCGTCCGGCGCGGCGTGGAAGCTGGAGGGGCCGTCTCCCGCCCCAAAGAGGCGTGCAGTCCTCAGGGTCAGGAGCTGCCGCAAACATGACCCAGAGGCATCCCAGAAGCGCACAGAGCCATCCTCGTGGCCGGTCACCAGCAGGTCGTGCTGACTCGACTCCTCGCACGTCACGCGGCCCCCCACCAGCGGCCAGGGCTGCAATCGGACGCCTTATTAGCATCCCTCAGATACAGCAAATAAAAATCGTTGATACGATGAGTGCTCAAGCTTCCGCAGTTTTGCCATTGCTGATGGCTTCAAACATTCTTTTAGAAATGCAAATCATGACAAGAAAAAACGGACAACGAGGAGAAGCCAAGTCTAAGTTTTCTTGTCGTGCCTTCGCTTTCTAAGATACACAGTTGAACCCCTTTACAAGAGACATGCACCGGGGAGCAGTTCTTGTCCATTATATGAGCTGTCTCTTACAAGCAGGCTACCCTGTCTCGCTTTACAATCAACCCCTATTTTAACAGATAATCAGTTATCTGTTACATTGGTGCCTCTTACAAAGGGCACCAATGTAACAACTGTACGTACCAACTAGCCCAGGAGTGCATTCTATTCTAACATTCATCCCAGGAGTGCATTCTATTCTAACATTCATCTGTTTGTAGGCCAGTTGCCTTGCTTCCAAAACAACAAGGGAATTCGCAAGTGGACAAAAGCAGAAAGAGCCCGAACAATCGGTATAAATGTTTGCTGAAGTTCACGCTGGCCAAGGCACACAAACGACATTCAAGAGGTTTCATAAACTAGTTGGAATATTATGTAAAACTTGCTATTACTAAATGTAAAAAAATTGCAGACAGTTATTCAGAGCCTCTCAAAAAAGTGATGACGAAGCAGCAATGATTATGACAACGCAACAGCCCTTCGAAGTGAGCCGAGGATCAAACCTAAGGCAAGCAGAAACATTTCTATTTTCGAATGACTTACTGCAACAAGAAAGGAAGCTGAAATACCTGCAATAGACTCCACGAAAACTGGATGAAGAAGTCCCTAGTTCTCAGAAAGTAGTACTTAAACAGCGCAATGACAGGCACAAAAGAAACACATATGACCGGACTAGTACTGATCAGCTCTGGTCATGTGTTTCTGTTGTGCTTGTAGTTTGCTTCATCTTTGCAGGGTGAAACATTTCACCCAAATCAAGGTATGTTGCAGCTCACGTGTAGAACACCGGTGGCCCATTTCCCCTCACCTTCGTCGAGCACTGGAGTGTTTGCTTGCGGCCCTCCTCGAGCAGCTTGTCCCAGACGTCCAGGGGTACGTTGCTGAAGTGGTTCGTACAAGTGATGGCCGAGGAGTGCAGGCTCGACAAGCACGGCAACGCAAAGCTGGGCCAGTCATCTGAGACAAGGTCCACCACCACCAGCTCTTCCTCGGCCAGAATGACCAGTGCCACAGGTTCTGCGGTCTCTGCGAGGGCAGGCGCAGGAACAAACCTGACGACGTGCTTCTTCAATAATTCAACAGTGCATTGGGGCGCACGTATATACCCACTTAAGGGGAGACGCTCCTCGAAAGCACTTTTTTTTTGTTATTCAACTTAGAGCTTCAGAAATTGGACCACTGATGCAGTTTTTCCTCCTGATTCCAAATCTGTAATCAGTTTTTACATAAGTGCAATAGTTTGGGAGTTGTGTTTCAAGTAATGGTGAAACTTGATAAGTTTTCCGGGAACTTTCGCGCATACTAAATGTTCATGCAGAGAGTTGTTCAATGGCTCCTTTTGCTCCCTATTAGCCATAGAGTGCCGATATCTAGCTAGAAATTGTGCTCCAACTTTGAAACTATGAAAAAAACATCTGTGTAGCAAACTACCCTTTTTTTTCCACTCGACCACCATTAAATTTATTAATAGATATTTACAGCTGATAGGTTGTGCTGATTCAAGTAGATATCGGCACCCTACGCACTCTCCTCAATGTGTGTGCCAAATTTCGTCGTCGTATGACCATTCTAAGTGCCCGAAACACTTCCCGCAAAAAATGCAAATTGGCCAAAATTGCGAAATGAGAAAAACGCGTTTGAAAGTTTGAAAGTCTGTATTTACAAAAATGAAAAACGCAGTAGCACGAAACTTGTGCTGAACACATACACACATGTCCAGAGGGAATATCAGTTGTCTAAAACTCTCCAGCACCGTAGGTTTTCCCTTCCCGGCTGGTGCGGCAGGACTCCTCCACCCGGGCCCTCTTGGCTGCACTGCGACGGTGTGCCCTCGCCTCAGCGGTTTGACGCACATTCATCTTGTGCATGCGCATGCTGTCTCGGCGGTCGCTGAGGGTAACCAGGGCCTCCGAAGGAAGCACCCCAAGCTCTTCCAGCACCTTTTCAAAGCTCGCGTGGCCCCGGTTGAACCACAGGACTGCAATGGCTGTGGCTGTTTCCACAGCAGTCCGGGAAGCAAACCGGGTCTTTGGACACAGCAGCCATATTTTGCTGTTCAGGGACTCGGCCGCGTTCTGTGTCTTGCCGTGGAGGCACCGGGCAAGCAGCTTCGCATCTGTGAGACGCTTGTAGATTGGGAGGACTGCCAAACCCTGGGCCTTGGTCAGGAGGGGGGTGTGGCACGGTGCAGGCTGGCCCTGCGCCTCAGCACGTCGGTGCTTGCACCACGAGTCTGGGCCTGCAGGACAGAACTTGTGACTTCCAGCACCGTCTGTTGAGCACGAGTGCAAACATGAGGCCCATATGGCAGTGTACATCTTGTGGACATTTCCCCGATTGTTCACAATGGCCACCTGAAAGTAAGTTTGAAGCTTCTGGATGGTGGTCTCCTTCAGCTTCTCCCCTCGTGGAAGTGGCGTTGGCAGCTTCCGCAGGCCGGTGCCCAGACGTTTCGCCACGTGGTTGGTGCACTCCTCTTTTTCAATTGGAGTGTCAGGGTACACGTTGGCATCACAGACCCCGTTGTAGGCCTTGCTGTCTCCATCGCTTAGGAAGATGGTGAACCGCAGGGGTGTCTCATAGTCCACAGTCCTCTGCCAAATGCGCACTGCAGCTTCGGCCTCCATGGCATGCGAAGAACAGTCGCAATTCTTCTCACAAACGGGATGATGAAACGCCTGCCATGTTTCTTCATCGCCTCCCATGTCGTTATGCAAACTGCACGCCAGGCAGAAGTTGGAAAGCACTTCATAGTCCAGGCACAAACCAGTGTCCAAGGACACTACAGTTCCCACACCATTGTGGCTTTTGTGGCCTCTTTTTTGCCATGTGCCGTCAAACATGACTGGCACGTCACTGTTACCAGCCACCTCTTTGGTGACGCTGCGTGCCCTTTGCATGTTTTCACAGACAGCCTTCACTGCCGCACTGTGAATCTTTTTGCCGATAGCATGGAAGGTCTTATGGTGCATAGGGTTTGGCAATCCAACTACTGCACAAAATCGTGAAAGTTGCTCATGCCCGATACCGACGGCACGCGCTGCAAGCACCACTTTCAGGTTCACGGCAAAGGCGTCACGCGAACTCCCGCTGTCGTAGCTTCTGCTTGCACCGCGGCCGCCATCTGACGCGACCCGCTTCGACGAGTACGCGGACGAAAGGATGCTCTCCGAGCACTCCGCATTCTCGCAGTGTAGCTCCAGAAACGCCGAAAGGCCTTTCCGCTTTTTATTCGGTGCCCGAACTGCGAGTTTACTCTCGTGACAAACGGGGCATGCCGCGCCTGCGACGACGGCCGTCAATGCACCCAACTCGCACAGCACTACGCTTTCGGCACGATCGGCATTCGGCCTGACGTCGTTTTCGAATAACGCGATCTTTTTCTGCGATGCACTCACAAAATTCACTGCAGCGTTGATCTCGTCGTCGCAGTTGCCATGGTCGACGTTGCCGTGGTCGATGTTAGGCCTACCGGCCGCTGGCCCGTCGCGGACATTTTCGTTGGCGGTGGCTTTCTTGTACGTCCTCCGCCGCTTCCCTCTGAACTTGTTCTTACTTCTGTATTTCCGATGGTCGGCAACGGCCTTTTTCGGGCTTGCCATCGCACGAAAACAGCGAAAAATAACTCCGGAAAACAGTGAAGCGAACTACGGCAAGAAAACACGGGTGCTGTCAGCCAATGGCGGCCCTGCGTTAGTGGCGCGCGGTTTGAAACGGCGGGAAAAGACTGTTTTTGTTGCTTTTTTTTTTAGATTTTTCGTGAACGTACGAGACTTCAAGAACCGGGATCGTGGAGAGTAAGGACAACTCTACACGAGCCAGCGGCCGCAATATGGCGGACAGCTCTCTTCGCGGCCCCGCGAGCACGCGAACAGCAGCCCGTTTTGTGTAAATTTCGTGATGCCGCGCGTCACTGCCGCTCACTCAGACGCGTTTTTCACTGACTTCTGATGCTTATTTCGCTGTGATATTTTCAGATGTCAAAATATAATGTATAAAGATGATAAAGCAGCAAAAAACAGAAAAGGTGAAATTTGGAAAAAAAACGCGACTTTTCGACCCGCGTCTCCCCTTAACCCCAAACTGTGGTTATGTGGCGCAGCAGATTTTCCCCGGAATGGGTGATTGCCCGGCATATCAGGCCCACGCTGCAGCAAAACTATCTTTTCAGAAGGGTTGCATGCAGTAAACTGCATAGTTATATTTGTTCATTTTGAATACCTTAAAATCTCCGAAAACTTCACAATATCTTATCAAAGAAGACATGAATACAGTGATGCATGTTCAAATATTCCCACAGGCTACTGATCAACACTGCAGTGCAAATCAGGGCAACACCTACCTGCACAACGAAGTTGAACTTAGGAAAAAAAGAAGCAAAAACACGTATTGCTCAGGCTAACGATTATTTGTATACCTTGCCTTGATCTAATCAAAGCCTGGCACAATGGTGTCTCAAAAATAAACATAGCATGACAAGAATACAACCTCTTTCTTCTTTTTATTTTTCAGTGTACAATTTACTGTTCCAGATAGCCGTTGAACTCGAAAAACAAACAATTCCACCCGGCCCCCCCCAAGCTATATGCGCGAGCGCAGTTTTAAAACTGTTTTGAAAACACTCAAAAATCGATATACTAAACCCGGATATAATGAAATATTGGTCATGACGAAGTGAATGAAGAATGCTCTTGCAATTGACACCGTGCTAGGAATATGCTCTATAACAAATTTTCTAATACAGTCGAGCCTACATATAACGGCCCCACTTAAGACGAACTTTCGCTTAAAGCTAACAATACCGTATTTACTCGCGTAACGCTCGCACTCGCATAATTCTCGCACCCCCCACATCGCCCAACAAAAATACGATTTCTTTTTTTTCCTTGAGTAATTATCACACCCCTGAAAACTGCCGCAATAATGTTGACTGCTCGTTCTAGCCACTGATAATGATAGCGCACACCTACTGGCGCAATCTGTTAAGCATCAAGCGTACTATTATTGCACGGAGATTTTATCCAATCAGAGCTAAGCCAAAGTGACAAGTGCGCGTTGCGACATGGAAGATTTTTCCTTCCTTCATGCGTTGCGGCGTGTTTTGTATGTTGCGTCGGTAAACTTGTCCCGTCATGGGACGAAACTAAAGCTACACCGCTGTTTTCAAGTTGAAAGTGTGTTTTCAAGTTGAAAGTGATATGTTGTGCAATAAACAACGGCAACAGGTCCACCGGTAGACCCTTCGAAGTCTACTACGAGTTTTGTGTTCGCTACTGGTGACGGCAGCTGAAAGCCACCAAGACACGTTGGGCCTGCCATGTGCCTAAAAGGGATTGATGGAAGAAAACTGCGGACAATTCTGTTAAATAGCCATCAGTCTAATACTGACGCCCTACACTTATCTTTTGAGGGCTCCCGTTCAAAGACAAACTCTGTATGGTCCCTAGAATACTGCATATTCGAGGGACCATAAAACCACTACGCCTACAAGCTTTGGGTAATGTATTCTAATTCTAGACTATTTGCTTGCACTTTTGGTGTCTTAAATAAATCTTGCCTTGTGTTGATCCTGTGCTTTTATTGTTGATGTAAGTATTAATTAGTACTTCTCGAAGCTTGCTGTTAGTTTCTGGTGTGAGAATCCCGATTTGCGGCCACTTCATTTTCTTTTTCGCTTTGTACGTTTTCGTGGAACGTTTACCCTGCGCAATTCTTGCACCCCCTAACTTTGCACTGGTCTTCCACCAAAAAAAAAAAAAAAGCGTGAGGATTATGCAAGTAAATACGGTATACGCATGACCGTGAAAATATACATTGCTTCAATGACACAAAATCGCACTCACAACGAACGTCTCTGAGCGCCGCCGATCGGTTACAGCGAAAGGAGTCGGCCCTGTGCAGACTTCCTGGGAAACCGCTTTCGACCACCGATCAGGCATCAGCGAGGGGCCCATAGATTCTTATTGTTAAATGCCGACCCTGCCTCCGCGCCCTTCTAGTTGCCGCTCTCCCCAACCACTTTTTTGTTACGCACCCCTTCGTCCTTTGTCCCCCCCCACTACTCACCCCGCATTGCCAGACGGGGCCTGTGTTTTCACACTGCCACCAATTTTTCAAAGACCGGTCAGCCATCTTTCTTGTTTTTAATCGCTGGTACTGTCGTTAGCATCGCCGGCCTGGAGTGACCTGATCATTTGCCAACATCGTCTGTATTCGATCGTCTGCATCTTGTCTCATCGTATGGTTCTAGTGCAAGCGCGTACGCTGCCGCACTCACTCTGATAATTCACGATTCGACCTGTTCTCGCTCACTTTGCACTCAACTCAACATGCCCTCCGCACGCGTGGAACGAATGGTGAAATATCGAAGTCGTTGAGGCCACGCAAACTCGCCGGCGTAGCAAAACAATTCTTTGACCACAGCTGCTAATTCTTTGAACACCGCCGTGCGGTCCGATCCGGGGCAGCTGTGCTTTGACCTCTGCGCGCGCAGGCACTCTTTCAAGTTTTTCTATGCGCAAGTTGCACGTCTGACCATTCAAGCAAGCTACCCGACCTGCCTTCTTCCCCCGCGTTTTGGATTTTAATGTCGCTTTTCCGCCGTATCCTCCCCTCTCTTCATTCTATCGCAAGTCCTTGCCCTTCTCTCGCAAATCTGCTTTCCCCTCTTGATCACAACTCTTTTGCATGTCTCTACAGCTCCGCGACGCCAGCCAAGCTGGCTCCAATTCAGAAGTTTTGTTTTCTTACTAGACATGGGCCCAGAGCTGTACCACGTGTTCTGACATGTGTCACGTGTGTGCATCTTGTTTGCTCTCGGTGTGCGTGTGTGGTCAGGATAGCGGATGGGAGGCTTTGCACACTTTTTCCCGCCGCTCAACAAAACGTCGAAAGTGTGACCGCTTGGCTCGGCCTTAATCCGCACGTTAGGTGCCACGTAGCAAAGCGGTTGCTCATACTTCATCAGCGTCGGGCCTGATGTCGAACCTGAAGCTTCCGAACAGGACCACTGCGGCGGCGATTTGTGGCAGCACATTGTCGACTCCGACATGGGAGAGCAGGTGGGACCTCTGATGAGATGGTTTCATTACGGTCAATGATGATGCCAACACCGCGGAACCGTGCAAGGATAAGGGCATTGTGAATGAAGTATGCGGCAAGAGCTGATTGCGAAAACTGGCAAGAGCTGACTGGGATTGATTTGATTGCGAGAACGACAAAACTTTGGAGTTAGTGCCTCATGCAGCTTTTGCCACGGGGCTCAGCGAAGAGCACACTGCTGTTTGAAATGAACTGGATACTGCCCTTATCGCTTCTGCTCTTCGAAACACAGCATCACGGACATTCTGGGGCAAAAATTTTTTGTTTTCACTCACAACTTTTTTAAAAGTTGCGTTTCATTTAGTACAAACTTCGAGACAGAGCGAACAGATGCCGCGTCAGACTGAGGTTCGATTGTATAAGGAACTTATTCTTATGTAGTACACAGCTTGGTTATACAGTCGACTCCCGGTAATTCGAAGTCGCTTAATTGGAAGTTTCGGTTAATTAGAAATGAGCAAGTGGTCCCATCAGTTCAGCATGCAATCGTACAGAAAAAAATGTTCGATAATTCGAAGTTAAAAACCCATAATATTGGTTAATTAGAAGTTTTTTCAAACGACAGTCTCGTCGCGACCGTAATTTTACAGTAAAATGGGGAACTTTTCATATGCCAAAACATCTGCCGGACCGCGCTGGTGTCTTCGCCATCACTACTGTCCGCAGCGCCACAGATCTTGAAGCGGCAATCTTTTTAACGCTGGCGAATCGCATCGGCGGCATCGACTGACTCTTTAGTTGACTTTTGTCGAGACTCGAGTGTGTCACCGCGTCACCCGCGCGCTGGGTTGATTCCACACGTGTTTCCGCGCTTCTGATTTTGAGTGTTGTGGTGGTGACGTACGTTTGATAATGGCAACTCGTGGCCCTTACCGAACGCTAGACCTAGCGACGAAAGTCGAAGTCTTGAAGGAAGTTGACCAGGGAGGCACCGCCAAACAAGACATTGCAAGAAAGTACGGCATTAAGCCTAACACGCTGTCGACTTTCATAAAGAATAAGCGCTCAATATTGGATGCGTTTGAAAGTGAAAAATTCAAGACACCGCGGAAGCGGATGCGCACCGGCGCCTACCCCGAGTTGGAGGAAGCACTGCTGATTTGGATCAGAGAGGCACGAAACCACAAACTTCCTCTCAGTGGTGAAGTCGTCACGGCAAAAGCGTCATCGCTTGCTGAAATGTTGGGCATCAACGACTTCGCTGCTTCGAATGGGTGGCTTACGCGTTTCAAACATCGCCACGACTTGATTTTTAAAAGCGTGTGTGGGGAGAAGGCGTCAGTCGATGAGGAAACGTGCCTGACATGGAAAGCGGGCAAGCTTCGCGAGTACCTCGAAGAATACCAGCCGGCAGACATTTTTAATGCAGACGAGACTGCAGCTTTTTTATCGGCTGCTACCGGACAAGAGGGCTCCCGTTGAATGACAAACTCTGTATGGTCCCTAGAATACTGCATATTCGAGGGACCATAAAACCACTACGCCCACAAGCTTTGCGTATGGTATTCTAATTCTCGACTATTTGCTTGCACTTTTGGTGTCTTAAATAAATCTTGCCTTGTGTTGATCCTGTGCTTTTATTGTTGATGTAAGTATTAATTAGTACTTCTCTAAGCTTGCTGTTAGTTTCTGGTGTGAGAATCCCGATTTGCGGCCACTTCATTTTCTTTTTCGCTTTGTACGTTTTCGTGGAACGTTTACCCTGCGTAATTTAAAGACGACTTTTAAATACGACGACTGTTCTGGAGGCAAAAGAAGCAAAGAGAGGGTGTCGGTGCTAGTCGCGGCGAACATGACTGGCACAGAACGGTGTCGCCTGCTTGTGATCGGGAAGGCTGCCAAGCCTAGGTGCTTTAAAGGCGTGAAGACGCTTCCTGTGGATTATGCCTCGAACAGAAAGGCGTGAATGACATCCGATATATTTAAGGACTGGATCACCAAACTCGACCGCAAGTTCGCGCAATCAAGCCGTAAGGTGTTGTTCCTTGTGGACCAATGTAGTGCCCACATGAACGTACCTGCCTTGAGTGCCATCCATCTTGTGTACCTGCCTGCAAACACGAAGTCCGTGTTGCAGCCCATGGACCAGGGCATAATAAAAAATGTGAAGGTTCATATTAAAAGAAAAGCGGCGCACAAAAAGACAGAGACAAAGAAGAGAATTACACACAGCGCTGCGAAGGTATTGTATGTGAAGGTATTGTATAGGCAGCATCTCGTCGAGCGCATGCTTTTGTGCATGGACAACTCGTCGCAATACGAGGTGAGTTTGCTTAGTGCCATCAACATGCTAGCGCGAGCTTGGACCCGCGTGAAAGAAGAAACCATCGCCAATTGTTTCCGGGCCTGTGGTTTCATGGAAAACTCGGGGGATGCTTCTCCTTGTGCGCCAGTGGAAGTGCAAACAAATGAGCTCGACGACGGTAGCTTTCGCGCCGCTCTCGGTGACGTCCGTTTTGACGAGTATGTCGCTGTGGACAGCAACGTCGAAACATGCGGTCCACTAACGGACAGCGAAATCGTGCAGATGGTCCGGCCTCATGACTGCATTCCTGAAAATGACGATGATGACGACATCGGAAATGAGCCACCACCGAGGGCTGCCGATGTAGCTGCGGGTCTTGCTCTTGCGCAGCGGTTTTTTGTTGGAGAACACAACGCCGAAGAAGCACTTCGTCACGTGTATTCCTTACAAAACTTGCTAGCCGCAGCCAGATTCGGCAAGCAGAAGAAGATGACAGACTATTTTTCCTCAAAACTGTCGCGCTTTTAAACTAATAAAAGTGCCGTTTTTAGTGCTTTTTGCTTAATTCGAAGTTCGTTTAATTCGAAGTTTTTTGCGGTTCCCGTGAACGTCATATTAACGGGAGTCGACTGTAATAAGGTTAGAGTTTATTTCAGTAGCGACGTTATCAGAGGCTATAGAAGTTGCGAAACAGTAGCACCAAGGTGAGAATGCAGCAACTAGAAGCAACCGATTTGCAAAATGATAAAACGAAAGGTGGGTGTCTTCTGAGTTTTAAAACTCACCAGGGTCGTCCGCTTCTTTATCCACGGTGAAGAAGTCGACAACCTTGGAGGTGAGATCCAGCACTTTGGAGGTCTCGCCGTGCTTCACCGAGACCGTGTGACGGTCGCCGTAGTTGGCACGAGGCATACCACCAGAGAAGATGACGAAGTCATACCTTACAAAGAAAATGCCAATGCACACAATTTAGAAAGAAGATAGTGTCCCGTGGCTGTGGCGGTGATGAAAGCAGGACACAATCAGTAATGAAACGCTTTATTGGGCCAACTTGAGCCCACTAACGAAAAAAGAACGCCGGGCCTGTGCGGAATGTGCAGCACAGTCACAGCAAAAGCTGGAAGAACGACCTTTCAAGAACCTCTTTTAGGGGGGCCACGGGTATTAGAACGACCAAAAATGGCCACAAGATAGATTTTTTTGTAAAACATTTTAGGGAAACATGTGCTTCTGAGCACTAACTCTCAGATTACTAATGCTAAATTCGGTCAAGAAATGTGATAAAATGGGCCTTCAAAGCACTCCAGCAGCAGCTAAATGCCCCCGAATGAACAAAATTTGTTCAAAGTTCGCGTGTGTGCCATGAGCGTTGCAATGAGCTGAAGGCCGCCATCTTGTGCTAGATATGAAGCTGTTTCCTTTGTGCGTAATTTTCACCATCTCAAAATGGCTTCCACCGAGCAGAATGGCTGCCATCGCGGCTTTTCTGATGGTCACTCCCAGGCTGCTGATCAGCTCTCACTCGGTGCGCATTTGGAAAGCGCCGCACAGAGTCTCCCGTTGGCTAAAGTGGCCGGCACAATTTTCACGAGTGCTGTTATGCGTTACCCATTGGCTGGCATGACCAACGCGTCATTATTTATTTATTCTTTCTCCTCCCAGGTTCCCTACCGTGGCTGCACGAACGTTTGAGTCTGCTTTTGCATTCGCGTGTGTTTCTCGCCGCACCGTGTTTCTACCTTGCACTGGTAGTTTTTAGAAGCCATTGAAATGTGCAAAGTCTCGTGTGAAAGCGCCCTTGCAACGAGCTTTTGGAAGCGACAAAATGCAGGCTTGGAACAAGAAGACGCCAGCTAGAAGCGCACCGTCAGGACGAGTTTGGTGGAGTCGGTGCCCATATGTCAATGATCCGCTCCGCGCAGACGTAACTGAAGTGCCTGTGCAAAACGATCTCAACAGCAGCGTAACGTAGAGCACATCCCAGGCTTCGCTTATGAAATCGATTGAGTGAAGGTGCGTCCACTTGTACCATTTTTACGAGTAAATGCACTTTGAAATGTTTGTAAACACTCACTTGCCGGTGGTGCGCTTCCAGAGGATTTTGTTGATGGCTTTGCAAGGGTATGGACCTGCAAGTGTGTTCAGGTCATGAGACACTGCCAGGAAACAAATTGCCACTTGAATTGCCATAAAGCCTCAGAAGCACAACTACAATGTCTTGGCTACCAAAGCTAAATCAATGCATAGCAAAATCGACAAGTCACACAAGCACAATTGACAAGTATTGCACTAATGAAGAAAAAGATTACTTGAGCAGTTATAGAATGAACAAGCTCCTAAACCAGTTACAGTAACTCCAAAAAATGTGTGATAGACAAAAAATATTGTCGCACAGTTGAAGTCTTAAAAGGATATTAGTGTTATCAGGATATGCTATAAGTGGCTTTTGAAAGGACGATGATTCAGTCTACTACTGGGTAACAGTGCAACAATGGGACAAACTGAGTGTGTCGTCAATACATTTGCTGGTAATAAATTTTACTTATTAAAGCAAAATAGCAACTTAGGACTCTTTCGTTCAGTCAAAGACATGTTGTAGTTTGTTCATACACAAGTTCAGTGAAAAAAAATGCCATAAAATTATGATGAATGAGAGAAGCAGGAGGTGTCCTAACAGTCAGGAAACCCTGTTAACAACTCGATTTTTGATTTGATTGATATGTGGGGTTTAACGTACCAAAACCACCATATGATTATGAAAGACGCCGTAGTGGAGGGCTCCGGAAATTTCGACCACTTGGGGTTCTGTAACGTGCACCCAAATCTGAGCACACAGGCCTACAACATTTCCACCTCCATCAGAATTCTGGCTGCGGCGCCTCCATCAGAAATGCAGCCGCCGCAGCCGGGATTTGATTCCGCGACCTGCGGGTCAGCAGCCGAGTACCTCAGCCACTAGATCACCGCGGCGGGGCAACTACTCGATTTTTATTACTGCCAAGGTTTCAGCTCATGCAGGCGGCATTCGGACACTTTACAATAGCTCAAGATGCACAGCTCAGCGTTATGAAGGCTTTAATTCAAGTCAAGAATGAGAACTGCACTTTCCAGCCAGTGTCCTTGTAAAAAGCTCACCGTAACACTGCTCCATGGATTCAATGGCTTTGGCGCTGTTGACGCTCCAGACAAAATAGCTGCAGTCGTTGTGGGCACTCATGAACTTGGTGCCGCTTCCATGCCATGACACCGAGTGGAGATCCTGGAACGCAATGACAACCAGGCAAGAAAAGTCGGCACCGAGATTAATCACTGGAGTTGACCGGGACCTCTTTAGTCTGCAGCGTTCAGTTTTTTTGTTTGTTTTTCCCTCTTCTCTCCTGTGTAATATCACCACAGTAATGCTGCACAGGTAAATACAATTTTTGAAATATACTATTTGTAGTTTAACTGAGCAATTCTGCAAAAGAGGGAAAATGGACAGCTGTAAACATGAGTGGTGGCTTCCTCGAATGCTCGGCATTTGGATAATTAGAAGTTCATGTTTGTCTATACATGGCATTCCTACATACAAAGAAGTCAGATTATCACATGTTAATACATTTTTGTTAACGTGTGCGCCCCTCTTCCACCAATTCACCTTGTTGCAGATGTAGGTCTGCTCGGCATTTAATGTCTCATTGTCCCACAGCACCATGAGACCCCTCGAGTAGCCAATGACCATCTTGTTCGGGTCCAAAGGGTGCTCCGCGATAGCCTCCACACCACCGGGGTTGATCTTGTAGTCTTCAGGAACACTGAAGGCAAATGGTGCACAAGAAATGTTCATTGGAGAGCTCGAATGCCCACAGCAAGCAAGCAAGCAACAGCTAGAAAGAGAAAAACTCACTTCTGTGTGACGAGATCTTGATAGATGACTGCATCGGCCATCTGGAATGACTTGATATCCAGCATGTGAACGTTGCCCCCTTCAGTGCCCAGGTACAGGTAATCCCCAGAAGACTGAACTGAACAGGTGAAGATGCGAAGCCTGTGCAGCAGGAGACAAAGGGGCTTAGCGTGCACGACAAAGAATAAGGCATAAAGTTTCGTTCGAATTAGCCACAAGCCCAAAACGTACCCCCCCTTCCCCTTTCATTACAATATCTCTCCGACAGTGACTGCATCGGATTAATGCTACCTGCTATTCTGAATCTCACATAGAGCTAGCTACAGATGCCCACACCACAGAGAGCATTTGCATGACAAATAATAGGATGTCACCAAATTTACGAACCATGCCTTTCGTGAAATTATGATCAATGATCACCTTGACACAGTATACTGGCATCAATTACCAATCGTCAGATTCACAAAATGAAAGCGGTAACACCAAATTATTTCACTAAAGTGATAAGGGAGAGGGTTTGAAACATCACAGACACCATACATTAAGGAAAATCTAATGCTGAAAATACTTGCAACTGTCACAGGGATATAGCTTAGTTTTTTTCTGAAATCACCTAACATAAGGACTAGTGGGCAATGAGTTTCATCAATTATTTTTACTTGTCTTTTTTGTTCTTTAAAATGAGCCCTAGAATTTTCTAATGCCTCACCTTTTTGCTTTAGTGACTAATTGTACTTTTTTCAGGCAAAAAGAAAAAAGGTGGGGAAACACTGTATGAAAAATAAAGTGGCTTAGTATTTGCAGCACAAGCCTTCCAAACATTGAAGGAAGTGCTTACGTTCAGTGACTCCGTGTGAACCCTGTAATTTTGATGTAAACCTTCACATCATGATGAATATATCGCAAGTTCACTACCTTGAGACTGGAAGAATAGGGTTGTGGGAGAACACTCACTTAGAGTCAACTGTGTAGGACTCGACATGCTCAAGTACGGAGTCTTCTCCTCCTTTCATGTTGATCTCCCAAAGGTGGAGTGTGTTGTTCTCCAGCAGGGTGATCAAACGTCCCTGCAAACAAAGTCCATATGGACTAATCAGGACAGGACACATCTCGATTGCTCTTCTCAAAAGTTTAGCTAACAGCAGAAAACATTGACTAATGCCAGACAGTTAGCTAGAGGATACTTTACTTGAATAAACATGTTGCACATGAATACGTAAGGGACTGCCGAATGCCTCTATACTTATATATTAAGCAGTCATGAAGTTGCAAGTTGACTGAGGCACTGTTTTCCGAGTACGCTCAATTAAGTAAATGTAGTTGATAGAAACTGACAGCTATGCTCAGCCAGTCAATGAAAATCGTTAAAGATTTCATTTGTGGGTTTTAACGTCCCAAAACCACCATATGATTATGAGAGACGCCGTGGTGGAGGGCTCCGGATATTTTGACCACCTGGGGTTCTTTAACGTGCACTCAAATCTTAGCACATGGGCCGACATTTCCACCTCCATCGGAAATGCTGCCGTCGCAGCCGTGATTCGATCCCGCGACCTGCGGGTCAGCAGCCGGGTACCTTAGCCACTAGACCACCGCGGCGGGGCGAAAATCGTTAAAAAATATTGAAAACTACACTATGCAGTTTCTTCATATTTGTTTCACGCAACAAACTCTTTCTTCTTTTTTGGTAAAGAAGTAAAGTATTTCCAATCTTGAGCCTAAGAGGAGAACCTTGTCTGAGATGGTATAGCCTGCTCTAGCATTCGAAGTTGCAGTGTTGAACAGTGAGCCTCTTCAATACTGCAACTTGAATGCTAAGAGTAGGTTATCAGAGCAGGGTTACCAGAGTAAGAAAGTAAGGAGATATGGAAGTTACGCAATCAACTCACCTGCTTAGGCACAAAGTGCAGCTCTATCACAGGGCTGCTGGCATCATGTTCAACCACATACTCAACACCAGGGGCTCCGTAGCTGGCGACAGGTATGTCAAAGTCATAACATTTCTACAAGTTGGGGGAAGTAGCAGATGGGGAACATAAAGAGACAGTTAAAGGCTCTTGTACGAGAAAGGCTAACTCGCTCGATTTTGTCGCCTTTCTTCTAAAATTCTCTTGCTTCCATAGCAGAATTTAAACGTCTCAAAACTGTACGGCTGAATGATTATGTGGGACGCCCCAGACGATTATTTACGACCACATCAAGATTTTAAACGTGCACTGGAAGCACAGTACACAAGCATCTCTGTGTTCTGCCACCGTCAGAGCACAGCCGCCGTGGCACGGATTCAACTTGCAGCTGTGTGCTTGGCAGTGTGACATCACAGCGCCCAAGCTGCTGCTACACTGTAACAAAATCCCAATAAATTGTAAAAGAATGACAGTTTTCACATCTTTCGTGAACTTTGGGTTGACATATTAACATGCAATAGTTTGAGTCTGAACTTATATTAGCTAGCAGTACGAGTTACCGCTCATCAAAGAATGTGGATACGGGGTGACAGCTCCAGATGCTTCACTCACATTGTGGGCAAGAAAAAAAAAAAAAAACAACAATCACAGTGAAATGAAAATAAATAAAGCCTGCACTTGCAGCACACAGGCTGAATAACTCCTGTAGTTAACAAACATAAAAGCAGTTGAGCGCTGTAATTTATTTTACATCTGTACATGCGCACAAACAACAATAATCATAATTGTATCTTTTATTAAAAGACCCAATGCGATCAGATTCTTAATGCTTCTATTTCTCTATCCTAAGTAAGAAAATGAACATTAACTAAACGAGAGTACATGACAGGTGCACAGATAATGGAAGTGGGTAGTGTAGGATGCAACTGAGATACGATTAAAGAAACAGATATCAATGAGATATTGTGCACTGGATGCAATATGTTCTCTACATCTTCATCAACCAATGTCTGTGGCATCTCTTTTAAAAGGATACACTCTGAGTGACCCTGTCTTGGTCCCAATGGCAAAAAGTTCCAGGAATGGGTCCCAGGCCAGAGCCGTAGGGCAGTGAGGAAACCCATGGCAGGCAGTCTGTTCAATGAGGGGTGGGCCAGAGGAAGCAAAATATGAAAAAAGACACTAAACAGACACTAAACAGACAATTTTTCTCCTAGTTGTATATTACAGTTGAGTTCAACAGTTCCTAAATTACCCCGCCAGCTACACACAAAGATGTCTGGTAAGTGAGAAACACACAAAAATAATACGACTGTAGCAGATATTTTTTTTTTCAGGCTTCCCGCACCAAACATAGTGATCTCATTTTGACGGCGACTGCAAAGTCCCGAGCAGTTCCTAATCAGTAAAAATGAAGCACTCTCGGGGATCCACACACTAAACACACGAAATTCCAGAATATTTCCTTCAGCCAGTACTGCCAAGATATGAAAAATATGCATTGAAATCCGGGACGTCATGGGCAGTGATTTCCATGCAATATCTTAAAATAAAACTTTGACCTCAATTTTCTCTTCTACATTATTAAACTTACCGTAATGAAAATACCAACAGCAGACTTTCCCAGTACGGTTCATAAACCTAAACTGGTTCATTGCTTTACATTAATGTCCGTTTGAAAACTAAGCAAATGATCAATGAAAAAAGGAGATTTGAATACCTTTGCTTTTCATGAAAACTTCAGCTTTTTACCCATTTTATCCGTGTCTCAACAAATCATATTAGTTCTTGGGAGTATCTTTACCATGAGACTGATTGAAAAGGTTGGCTATAAGAAAAAGGAAATCAACCTGCTGTGTTCAATATTTTACTTTCACATCGAGACCAGAAACAAGCTATGTACATGAGAAATTGTGAATTTGAAGTAGCTTTCCCTCTGTGAGCACATATGTATGTGACTGCGTCTGGGACAATGTGGCAGTTTAAAGTTCTCAAAACATCCCAGATTGAGTCTACGCCTACATTTGCAATGTGGCGAATCCTTGCCACGGCATTGTAGTGCTTAGGGTGCGATTAGTTCTGGCAAGCAGCGTAAGTATAGTGCAACTCTGAATGGTCCTTTCAACATCACAAGTGATCCATCTTTACTGTACAAGTATTGCAACATTATGTGAAGTCACCACTCTAAGGTGTCAACAACAGGAACAACACACTAAGTTTTAGCCAATATACAGTGTTAAACCAATGTGCATCGTACTCTTTTTTCTTGTTATAAATTCAATGATGGCTTAAGTGCAACTAACAAAAGAGCGAAGGAAAGTAATGTTAACAGCTGTGCTATTCCAGCAATGTTCAGACATATATTGTGCATACTTATAAGTAAACAGTAATGTTAACATAGAAGTAGGGTTACTTTGTGCACTTGACATTGATGCAGTGTTTCCACTAACGGTCCTCTAGTTAAGGACTATGGGAACATACTATGCACGCAGATGCGCTCTCAGTGTGTTTCAATGCAGAAATAAACAAAAGTACGTACATGACCGAGCACTCTGCTCCTTACTGACAGGAAATTAATGCATTGAAATTCCAACCTACAATAACTTTTAAACAGTGACTTCAGAAGTATGTATTTCCAATGTGCTCACTATAAAAATAAAGATTGCAGATTCTCAAAGATGAAGATATAAGAGCTGAGGCTCCTTATTAGAACATACTTCAACGAGCAAACTTGACAGACCAAAAAAACTTTGTATATTCACTTTTTTTTGCAAAAGCTCACACTTATGATGCCTACACCTAAATGTCTGACGTTTACCAAAATCACAGCTGTGACCCGGTAGTAGACCCGTCTTAACATGTCGCTAAAGATGCTTTCATAGAACACCCATATGAAGCACAAACTATCGGAATAATAAAAGTGAACTGGTACAGAAAACAAAAGCAACCCAAGCAAAACAAAATGCTGCAAGTGAAGTGTAAACAGGATCCATTTCCCCTTGCTTGACAATATACATCACAGCATTCTATTCTGCAGTTTTTCATACATTTAGAATTGTTCATTTCACAGTTCATTGTTGTGCACCAACCAGCTTGGTGTTCGGACTGCAGTACACACACACATAAATGAATATATGTGCCAGCTCATTAGTCAAAAATTCTTTTCCATGGAAAACAGTAAGCAATTCTCTTTATGAGTGTGCAAATGTAAACAATAAAATCACAAATGGCCCATACGCAAGCCTACATTTTCAAAATCGTGTTTTCTATTCTATATAAAAAGTCATCTGCACTAAAAGTATTGTCACTTCTCTGCCTGTGTTAAAAACTGAGCTGATTATGAATACCTTGAATGATAGAGAAGATTTCAGAAGCACAAGCTTAGTCTTTCTCTTGCTTAAAAAAAATCCAGCTGGTTCCAGCACAGTTATTGCTAAACCAATTATCATGCACAGAGAACTGCAGCGATATTGTTCTCCAAACAAACACAAGGTACCTTTGGTAGGAGTGTTTGTATTCAAGTACATATACGCGTATTCATCTCTCTGTCACAGACGCATGAGCATGAATGTTTTCTCGAGCCATTGTCGGCCGAGATTTTTTTGCACCCAAACATCACTGTCGTGGAACAACGCATCACTCGCTAAATAAGTCTCTGCAAGAAATGAAATTCTCCGGCAGCCATAGGAGGATCCGCACGGAACGACGACGCGTAAGGCTCAGCTGCATGAGACCTAGCAAAACACCTGCCGCTGCTATGACTGAGCCGAGACCACAGCTGTGAAACCTGCGCAAGGATGCGACGCGCAGCCAAGACAAAAAACAAAACAAAAAAGAAACCCTCTGAATTCTGTGTGCCTTGCTTCCAGACCTAGGTGACTCACGCTGCACGGGAGCGACTGCCAAAGAGATATGAAATTGAGCTACGAGATTATGCCGCCAGCTGTTGTGTCGTAGTGAATTTATTCGTTGTACATTTGCAAACCACATTTACACCAGCATTCGTTGCTTAGTCATCATTGTGCTGGCTGAGTTATGTCTTCATTCAGGGTTCATGCTTGTTTACATGACGAAAATTCAAGTATTTTAGAGGAGTTGCGATAATTCCAGCACTTTCAAAGTCTTACAAATAAACTTTTCAAATTTAAGGGTTTTCAAGGACTTACGTAAACCCTGTTGATGTCTGCTGACAGTTCATGAAATTTTCAGAGCTCATTCATTTTTTTTTTTTTCATAGGCTAGACTAAATCTATATGACCATTTTCTTCTCAAACATTCAGCATGCAATACAGCAGGGAAAGAAAATTTTGACAGCCCTTGTTTTGAAAGGCAGCTAAAATTTTGCCATAGGTCATATTCCAGAAAACAAAGTGCCTAATAAGAGAGCTACACTTGGATACCTTGACAACACCTTGTTTTTATGTACATACATCTGTTTTAATTTGCTTTAGTGCTGCTTACAGTAGCAAGTAATGCCAATGCAAACACTATTTTTCACCTAAAATTTGCTTTAGATGCCCATCTAACAACAAAGAGTGCTACACAGTTGCCTGCAAGCAAACATATCACTGCAGAGCCCTAGAGCACAGATAAAATAAACCTGTGAAGCACAAACTCGCGACATACTGTAGGGTGAGGCAAAACATGAGGCAGCAAAATAAAATGAAAGACAAAGGCCAGACACTGCAGTTACTTAGCCCTCACATGGCTCCATCAGCAATTCCAGTCACCCAGACGACTGTAAAGTACTGTTTAAGAGCACTCAGCAGCAATAATTCTTCAGGTTGTTTCATTATTACAAAAGGTAGAATACATTTAATTGTTTTAATTTTACACTGCCAGAGGACAAGCTCTAATGCCACCGCACATACATGGTTCATTAGCCTCTACTAGCACCTGAAAGCAACCCTCCTTCACTGCATTTCAATTTACAAAGAGCCCCTGTGTAATGCCACCAAGAATGTAATTGAACTGTTTTCACAGAACCAGTAACGTGTGCTATACGCAGCAGCAATCCTCTGTGGCTGCAGCATGGGAGCTGACATGTAGGTTTGGCGTGTCACATACTGTAATTCATAGCGCAAGGCAATAGAAGTGCTTAATTTACCAACAATTCGTTTCTTTTTTTTTTTTCACACCAACTTCTGATTGAGCTCTGTTAAAAGCTTGATACTGCACACAAAAGAGGTGACTTGCAGCAATAATATAGTAATATGTTAAGCACGTTAAAGGATAGCAACCCACTCCCAGGGATGTGCATTGGCCACCCTCAGTAAGTGAGTGGTAAATTTGCACTCTTTGCATTTCGATTGTTTCTCCATCTCAGATGTGCTACGAGCAGCTAAATCTCGCGTTTTTTTTTTTCTTGGCACCCACAGGCCATAGCACAGAACTTGCATTAACAAAGTCCAGTAAAATGCAGTTTCACAAGGCACAAGAAAGAAAACCTAAATGGAATTATTATGGATGTTGACACGTTTTCTTTCTTTCTTTTTTTGCTGTCTCTTCTTCTGTTCTGTTATGCATGCTTTCGTATAAGAAAACAAAAGAGATAAATTATCACAAGCCTTACACGACAAAAAAAAAAAGAAACACCTGGATGGTCATAAAGATATGCCAAAGCTATCTCAGTTATCTAACTCAAACTACCTCCTCACAAAGCTGAATCCAGCCATCTATGGAAAAACAACACTGATAGGAAGACAAGAGTTTTGAAAGAGCGAGAGACTAAGGCAAGACTGCACATGTGAGGAATGCAAGTGACGCCCTCACCAAGACCTCTCGTAGCCATGCGACCTTCGTCCCCTGGCCTGACATGTGTGGCACTATGGCATCACCGGGAAAAATCGGTTCACTTCTCTATGACACAGCAATTAGGCATTCGCTCAGGTAGCCTCCACGAACGCAAGAGGCATACAGACTGGGCAGCCTGCCAATGCTAAGAGAGCGGCGGGATGTCTCATCGCTCGTGCGCCTGCCTTTTTTTTTTCTCTCTTCTTTCGCTGCTGCCTCTGACCACTAAGAAAAGTCGTAACCATGGGTATATGAGGCAACGTCATAATCTAGTCAGCTGCAGCAACCGCAAGCGCGAGGATTGGTACAACCACTCTTTTCCCGTTCTTATTTTTTCTTTTTCTTCTTTTTGTGCTGACGACGCAGTTGTTACTGACCAAAAGGCAATTATTAGAAACTAGGTAACACAGCAAAGCCAATCGAAGAACTAAAGGAAAGACTATCACTGCACATCCAGATAAAGCAAAAAAAAAAAAGACGTCAATGTCTAAAAAAAAATGCAACAACAGTTCAAGACAAGACGTCAATGTCTAAAAAAAAATGCAACAACAGTTCAAGACAAAAGAAATGTGAACCACACTTCCAAAACAATGTTCACATAGAGCCAACCCTGTGCAAGTAACCTGCTAATGAAGCAATTATAGCACCACAGTTCATAACTACTTTAGATATGATAAACCATCTAAAGACGATCTTTACTGCTTGTGATATTGCTTGTCAAAGGGCAACATTTTCAACTATAAGTAAAAAAAAATGTTACAATGCTTGGTTACAGCCCAAGATATGCAAGTTCCACCCACAGAAATGCAGAGTGCCTTCTTTCACCTCTGAAATACAATCACGATAGATGGTTTTCACTGAAACTATCCACTTTTTTTTTTCAGCTGATGTTAATAGTGGCATATCAAGAGTTAGAAGGTTCATCATTTCTACCTGAAATATTGCGTTTGACTAAGCAGCAATCTGATTAAATTTTCCAGTATGTTGAAGTTTCCAACTTAAAAACCAGTGATGCAAATGTGTGCATATATGGGAAAGTCAACTAATCAAAACCCCCCAGAAGTGCTGGACTGAAGTCGCAAAAATGGGGAAGTGCTATTCAATGGAGCTTTCATAGAAATTCCCTGGAGAGAAGGAACAGGAGTGTGTTGTGGCTGGCGCTTTTTAACAGCACAGCCATTTAAAGTGCCATAATATGTATGCTTTATCTCAATTCATTGGCTCACCACTGGTCCACACATCATTAATGGGTATGTTCATAGAAATTGGCGAAATATCACCACTGACCGACTATAAAGCTGCACCCGGTGCTAGTTACGACTACAGGGACTTATATTCTAACAATAAACTGTTGGTTTGACGATGAAGCTGCCGAACAAATGTTGATTTGTCAAAGCTACAGTCACTTGATGGTGCGCCACAGCAGCCGACTTCAAGATACGGGCTACAATAAATGCTAGAGACTGAAAATGAAATCGTGGTCGAAGTCTTTTACTACAGGAACTAGCCCGAGTAGCTACCAAGAGCAGAGATAGAAGATTTCTGGGATGGCTACGATGACTGAGCTGGCTCAATAACGATAACTTTTTGTTGATGCTTGCCGTCTCTCTCATTCATATTTGAGATCACCCTCAATGAAACGATTCGGCCAGCTACTGCATCTAAACATAATATTGGAGTAATTGGCTAGAATGTTGTAGTACTTGGCAAACGTCACCGAGCTAAATTACGCCGTAGAGTTTGGTTGTACTTTGCTATAACGTCGAAGCCTGTAGCTAAAGCCCAGCAATGACCTAGGAGCAGCCAGATGAGTCTCCAGATAGAATCTTCTAGTTTTGATGTGTCAAGGATTGCGCACCGCTTAGTGCTCAAACTTCGCCAATTTGGTTTTTTAGGTTGTAACCGAGTGTCGCGAAGGGTTCAAATTTACGGGCTTACCTTGTTGAAGGCAAACAGCTCCCGCTGCACCTTAAGCCGCTCAGCACTTACGTGCTGGGACTTCTTTGTAATGAACTTGAGCATCTTCACTCTTCAGGCCTGCACAAGGAAGACGAGCACTCTCTTGTAAGTCACCCATTAATCACTAGGCACAAAATCGTCTTGCAGCACAAACAAGCAAACGACGCGACTTAAGAGAAACGTGAAAATCCGCTTCGGACAACTTCATGGCAATGAGCTAAAAATAAAAGCACAGAACAGAAGGGGAGCCTTGGTAACCCAAACCTTTGGAGAGCTTCGGGCCATGCGTGAGATAGCCACAACAAAAGTCTCCCTTATCTGCAGCACTCAAAGCGCTAATTCTGGCTTTGCCAGACAGCCAACTCTTCACGTACAAGCTGTCTGAGCCTGTGAAGCGATAGTTCGGATGGCAAAAATATTTTTCTCGCACATATGCCAATGAAAGGAACACTGTGGCAAAAAAAAAAGCAATTTTATTCGTATAATTAAATTACCCTCCCTCAACACCGAAGGCATCCCTCATGCCATGAAAAGATGCTTGGTAAGTGAAAAAACACACTAAATGAAGATATGAAGGGGGCAATGCAGCCTTGAGGTTTCCATGTCAACTCCACGTGACATGAATGCATTTTTGATAATGTGTAAATAATGAATTATTGGTAGCTTGATTGATTGATATGTGGGGTTTAACGTCCCAAAACCACCATATGATTATGAGAGACGCCGTAGTGGAGGGCTCCAGAAATTTCGACCACCTGGGGTTCTTTAACGTGCACCCAAATCTGAGCACACAGGCCTACAACATTTCCGCCTCCATCGGAAATGCAGCCGCCGCAGCCGCGATTCGAACCCGCGACCTGCGAGTCTGCAGCCGAGTACCTTAGCCACTAGACCACCGCGGCGGGGCAAATATTGGTAGAAATGAACTGCCATGTGTTTGAATGGAGCCAAAAGGACCAAATATTGCAGATTTCAGAAAATGTCATATTTCACTGAGCTTGACGGGACCAAATAATAATAATAATAATAATAAAGAAGACGCATTGGCAAATTCAGAGACATTCAGGAGCTGAAATTTCTGGGATTGAAGAATGAAACTTTCTCTTTCAATAATAAACACATCATAATGAAATTGATTATAACAGAGTTTTTGAGGAGCAATTCATCAGTTTACTTTGATTTATTGTTTCCCTTTTAACGTATTAAATTCTCTGGACTTGTCCAAGGCTAAAGATTTAGAAGAGTGAGTCGTTATGTATGAGCACAAGTATGACATTTTAAATATGAGCCATGTGTAAAGAAAACATCATGGTTTTAAATAGATGTTGAGAAAAAATCCATGAGTCTCTGCTTTACAAACAGAAGAGTGAACATGTTTGTTGTACAGCATTAACGCATGTCCGTCAGCTTTGTGGAACACCTTAAACGCATTCCTACTAATGTGCAACAAATGTAATGCAACGAAATGGTAGGCTTTTACGTGGCAAAACCATGATACAATTATTAGACATGCCATAGTGGAGGACTCCAAAATGATTCAGACTACCAGCAATTTCTGGACATGCAGCAAAATCAATTGTGCACGGGAAATCGTGCAAGGCACTTAAGTCTATCCGAAATGTGGCCAGGAGTCGAGCCCGTGTCCATGAGGATAGCAACGTAACAATTTATCGGCTACACTATCATGGCAGTTCTGGCGTGAAACGCGGCAGCTTAAAACTTCTACATGTGCACGTACTGACAGAGAAGACAAAGTAAATGACAACAAGCTTGATTATAACAGCATATAAAATGCTCCTGTTTCACGCAGTTTCCTCAAAAACTACACAAAGGGCAGCACACTGTCATCAACAACCTACTAGGAATTTCATGTGATGACTTTATGTGAAAATTATCCACATTTTACAAGGATTTCTTTTTCTGTTAATTGCTCGAAGCAGGCAATTTTTTATTTCATTCTTTTTTTTCTTTTAATTGTTCTCGGTAGTCAATTACTATTACAGTGCAGATGCAACTTCCCACCAGCAAATGACAAGGATCATCAAATAAAAACAGAGAGAAGTTAGAAAAGACTGCATCAAACTGAGCACAACTTGTTCTGGCAGTTTTATTTTTTCAGCCCCAACTGTATTTTGAAGCTCGCAAGACCACTGCAAAGGCTCGCTGTCAGTACTGCACATATTGCGCTCATTTTTCATCTTGACAATTCCGGAGTCAGGTTTTGAATAAAATCTGACCAGCACTTTTTCTGTTGACACTCGGACAGACATTTACAGATGTCAAACACAACTCAGTTAACTCATCAACATGAAAAGCATTCATTCACAGCTTGAACTTTTGTCAGAGATGTTTCCAAAAGTGTCACAACACCACAAATGAAAATATTGAGAAAGATATATTCATATCACTTACAAGCACAAACTTTACCACAAATCGTAAATATAGATTGTACCTTCCACACTAATATTTTTTTATGCCAGTTAAATTGAGCAAGCTATACATCACTTTAGCTGCATTGAGTATGAGGCTTCGAAATGATCATTTACCTGCAAGCAGGAAACCTAAGGCAGAACGTAACGATAGTGCTTCTAATGTTCTGGTGCTAGCTTTCAGTTGTGTGCAGTGAACAGCAAATATTAGTCCTTATTGTGTTACTGTGTTTCACAGCACACACATTTTCATCACTTTATAAATGGACACTCCCTATGGCTAGATATGAAGGTGGAGCCTTATTATATTCCTGGACGCAAAATAGCACTTTGTCTTTGTGGGATTAATTTGTTGGTGTATGCCTTCATAAAATAAGCAGATGGCTATCAAATGATCGACTATGTAGGGCCATGTGGTTTACACAAACATGCCCAACATATAGTTCATTTCAGTACAGCTCAACAGAAAAGCAGCCAGAACACATATCAATGAAGAGCAATGAAAGGCAGGAGATATTACTTTTTGTAACTTTTGCTTGTGGCTTGAAAATGTTACGACATTCACTTTTCATTTGCTTACAATGTAAAACACCACAGCAGACATTAAACAGTTCCTCTTTGTAGCTCTCGCACAATTTCTAGATTCTCACTGGTTCAGTGGTGCTCCGAAACACCTAACAGCAACCATTTTTTATTCTTAATGTCATTTTTTTCTTTACGATAGCTGGCTTGAACTAATTCACAAAGTTGGTTGAAAAATTACAATCCTTTTAAAAGAAAAGCTAACGTCTGTGTCCAGTTTCTTTTTGTTTGTTTTTTTTCTTTTTTTAACAACTCCCCAAGCATCTTTACAAACCAATATCCGTCCACTGCCAGGAAATGAAATTGAGCTGTTTTCTCATACCACGTCCCGTGACGACACTGCGAAGGACTTTTGAAGTACGAAGCGTCGAGCGAGCACAATTCGATACCACCGACGTAGTACAGTTACACATTTTATTCTCTTTTTTTATGTTCGGTGCGCGGTGTCTGGACAGCTACGCTTCCAAACGCTAGCTTTTGCCGCCGACACCATGTCTCGTCTGAACTGAAAAAAAAAGAATAAGGAAAAAAAGAATCGCCGGGTTGTGTTGGGTGTCGGCTTTCTCGTGAAGCGCAGTCGGGAGACCAACGCCGCTGCTAACGCAACGAAAAGTAAATAAATGAACGTAGGAGGCACGCTCTACGCGCAAAGCAAAACTTGAGTTCGCGCGCGTGAACGCTGGAGAAGAGAAAAAAAAAAAAGAAAGCACAGAGCACGCACGTTCTCATTTCACACTGCATGCGGCAGAATGACGACCAGAGGACGACCCCCTAAGCGCCAACGATTCGCTGGGTGTCTCGCGTTAGCATTATATATATATATATATATATATATATATATATATATATATATATATATATATATATATATATATATATATATATATATATATATATATATATAGGTGTGTGTGTGTCGGCCACCCTTGGAAACGACCGTCCTTGAATTGGAAGACCGTGCGAACGCTCAGATGTGCAAGTCGACACTACCGACTCGGGGGAAAGGCGGCAATGTCAAGGCGCGTTCTGCCATGCACGCACGCCAAACAATGCACATGCCCAGACGAGCGTCGCGCGAAACCGCCGCCTTCACAAACACACACACACGGCGGCGAATTAAAACGGCCAGACGAAACTTCAACGGCGTCGTCATGCAATCCGTACAACGCGGTGTTGGATGACGCTGAAAGCCATGAACCTCACAAAGGGTGGTTTCTCTTTCGTAGCAGTGCGTGCGGGCGACACACCAACACGAGGTTGCAAAAAAGAAATAAAAGAGACGCGGAATGTGAGCTGCGACCGCGCTGCAAAACTTTTCTTTTTCACCGGTTAAAGTGCAAATTGAGAAGATTCGTCGGCGCCTACTATCGGAGCGCGATCGAGATGTAAGGAATAACGCATTTTTTTCCAAGCGGCAACTTGAATCTGCAACGCGATCGGGAAGGGAACAGAAACGGGGCAATCGTGACAGCTCGGCCAGCGCCTAGCGAGACGGCCGATGTCCGATTTCGTAGAAAGAGCAAGCCGCCCACAGAAACGGACGAAGACGCGGTGTTTGTAAGGTTACTTTCGCCAACTTTTACTAAACAAATCGCATCGAAGTTACTACGACAACTTCCAAGCCTGTCACGCCTTTTTTTTTTTATCTTTCCTACACCGAGCGATCCCCTCCCCGGCTTGGGCGTTGACATCGGCTTTTGACAAACCAGCCACCATCGCTGTCTTTTCTTGCTTTGTTGATACTTTCTGGGAACGCTCAGGAACTGACAAGTAGACGGCGCGCCGCATAAAATGAACTTTCGGAGAAACAGCGAGTTTAAGGATTAGAAAACTATGCTCGTGGTTTGGGCCAGGCCACGCAAAACGGTTGGCGAGCCAAGTAAAGAGAAAAAAAAAACACATCGCGAGCCGCCGCAGCAAAGTTGCCGAAGGAGCGGTCAGTGCAGCGGAGAGAGCGGCTGCACCTGAAGGCCGGTTTTATAGGTTAGGCCTAACGTCGCTCTGAGCGACATTTGTGTTTACGTGACAAAACTCCGCGCGGAGTAGCGCCTACCGACGCGAAGTTTGATCAATCGGCAATGACGCCGGGAGGGCAAAACGGTAGCGTACTCACAGTGAATGCTCTTCAAAGTGTAAACATCCTATGACGGACTCTCCAACACTTCAAGCAAACCGGCAACACACACAAACGGCAAGACACTCAACGCATGTGTCCACACACAGCAGCGCGTACCTGCGCGAGATGAGACGTTGTATTCATGCGCGTCTGAAGAATTTTGCTTCTCAGGGCTTTAAGGGCGTATAAACTGAGTCAATATTAGCCTTTTCACTTAATAGAATTTTTCTAAGCAATGCCGCTACGCGGAATACGGCAGAAATGTTACCGAAAGCTGAGTTCGGAGCGGGACGGACTACTTTCTTTCTCGGCTGCATGACGTCACCGCCCAGGGGCGCATCGCTTGAATAGGCCATTGACTCGTGCGCGCACCCAAGCTTTCAGTTTTTTCTCGGTGTTTATTGTTACCAGCCTTCGGGCACAAAATGCGAGGATTGGCGCATCGAGAGATTTCGAGACTGCCCAGCCTCTCGTGTCTTCGTCGACAAGCGAGTGCAATCGCGGGTAGACGGGAGCGTTTTGCAAGCCCTGTTCGTAATAACCGGCGATCGCATTATGCGGAGCATAATGCGCGGCGCATAAAGGAAAAAAAAAACAAGAAAGGAAACGCAAAAGAGGTGAACGCGGGCGTGGCAAAGGCGACGCGGATGCGGCCTGTTCCGTTTTGCCCGTGTCGGGTCTGGCTCCATAAATATTTGCGGTGTCGCTGGCGAACCGCAGAGCCATAACGGGAAGCTCGTCCCGTGTCTGGAACTACTGGGTGCGCCAACGCATAAAACGGGAAATATATAAATAAATGGGCGCGCTAGCGAAGAGAAACTCGGTATAAACTTCGGCCCGCATGCCGACGTAAACTTGATGCGAAGAATTCGCACATGCCGTTCGCGCACTTACAAACTTGACGTATTTTGCGTCACTTGGTGTTTATTTTAGGTGCACGAGCTTCGGAGGCTGCCTGTGCTGCCGTTTGTTTGCTTGTTTATAAGGAGAGCGATTTGTGTATCTTAGAAGGGGTTTTCTGTTATTTTTATCCGACCTGCTACTTGGTGGCGGCCGCGCGCATATCTTGATGTGAACTTGCTCCACATCAACTTCTCTCGCTCCGCGCGCTTGTCTAAAGGTCAAGGGCCCCGTGCGCGCCGTTTCCGGTATGGTTATATGCAAACGATAACCACGTCGTAATTAATCGTCGCTTGATTTCCACATAATGCGCGGCGAACAATTGAAGTAGCGCGTACAGACAGGAGCAGCCTGTCGCGGCAACATTTTTTTTTTTTTTTGCCACCCATTTCAACTGTTTCGTTTTTTTTTTTTTTCGAATTGCGTAGCAGTGAAGGCTACTGTTACTTTATTTTTGGTCGGTCACGACATAAGAGACAGTTTAATGTCCACCCACCACCGTCACGTTGCCAGGGGGTGGGGTATGACTTCCCTCCCCCACCCCTGGAATTTTTTTTCTATTTTGGATAGAATATAGGCACGCACACATGCAAACACACGCATGAGCTTGCAAAAAGTATAATTCAACCCCCCCCCCCCCTGTAAAATATTTGATTGATTGATATGTGGGGTTTAACGTCCCAAAACCACCGTATGATTATGATAGACGCCGTTGTGGAGGGCTCCGGAAATTTTGACCAGCTGGGGTTATTTAACGTGCACCCAAATCTGAGCACACGGGCCCTCAGCATTTTCGCCTCCATCGAGAATGCAGCCGCCGCATCGGGGATTCGATCCCGCCACCTGAGGGGCAGCAGCCGAGTACCTTAGCCACTTGACCACCGCGGCGGGGCCTCGAAAAATAATTTATGACTACGCTACTGTTTCCTATACACACAGACGTATTCGTTCTTATCAATGGTTTTCGGTGAAAAAACTTGAACATTCGGATAAATTTCGATATCATTATGAGCTTAACATTTATACTTTAATTTTAACTCATCGCGTACATTAGCAGCGAAAAGAGTAGTAATGGCTAAACAGGGACTGGCCCGATTCTCTTCCACAGAGCATTTACAAGCGCCGCAATTCTGAAATTTAGCTTGACCTTTTTCTTAATCGTAACCGACCTCAGGCCCTCACCGCTATGCATATTGAAGTTGTTTTTCAGCTGCTTCCAGTTTAACTGGTCCTGGCTCTCGTTGGCGGTCAGTTGAGTTGTAACTTGGACCAGATAATAACTAGAACCAGTTGCAACTGTATAGTCAGCTTGGACGTTGGTTCACATTTGGGGCTAATTGATCCCAGTCAATGCCAGTTGAAACATGTTAGATTCCCCGTTACACATTTTCACAGGGATGAGTACAAGCACAGTGACTTTGTCGAAACCATACAATGAAACACGAAGTGAAAGAATTTGATTACAGCGAGAAAGTGAGCGGCTATTTGCTACAAGAACTATACTGGGAGATAAATGATTAGCATACAGTGGTTGCAAGGAGAATTAGAGGCACAAGAGATGGAAAATAGCCTACAATCGGCTCTGAACTGTTGTCGTCGCCTCCCAATATCGGATTAAATATGTGTATATTTGCGTGCAGAACCCAGGATGGCCAGCGCTGTTTCCCACAAATTGCTAATTGTTCATCTGTAAATACCGAGTATATGATCTAAAACAACCACATACTTTGTATTGTAGAGCTTCGAAAACTTTCAATGAGCACCAACAGCGCCAAGTAATTTGTCAGTACGACTGACTGGGCGAGTTGGTGAGTCATGATACTTGAAATACGAGTACGTTAACAAAGAAAATACCAGGACAAGCGCGCAAAAAAGACAAGCGAGTGCTTGTCCTTGCCTGCTTAAGTCACTGTTTCGAAGAAGACACCTCGCGAGTGTTACTCCGGAGTTCGGACGTGGCCAGATTTTGCCATGATGTCAAACTTGTCAGCCCTGAATGGCCGAGATCCGCCACTCCCTAATTGGCCAGAAAGGCCGGCATCTAAGAATCTGACAATATGGCGGAATCTCAAATATATAGAACATCACCTCTTTTCGTGAGCCTCGGCAGGGGTTTCGTCTTAAAGGAGCTCTGGTAGGGTTTTAGGGGTAAGTGCGGGTGGCTAAAGAGGCTTGGGTGGAGGGGCTCTGGGCGTATCGAGCCACTTATTTTAGGGGAGGGGGCGGTTGCTTGATTAAAACTAGAGAGGGGGGTATTTCTTTTTGTTGTTTTTAGTCTGTATCATCACAAGAAGCCTATAGCAGCGTAAATACTGTTAACTTGTGCTCACAGTGGGTCCCGCCATGGGTCCAAATCGGTGATAGGAGCTGGAAGACAAACAGTGAAGGAGGGCGGGGGGGGGGGGATGTGCTTACTGAGTCATTGAGATGGGGAGGGAGAGTAGCGATCGCCTTTCCCTAAATCAGCCACTCATGGGGGGGGGGGGGGACGAGGACAAGGGCTTTTATTGATTCCTCCCTTACGAAGTCTGTGACTTGTTGACATCCGTGACGTCGCAATACTGATGCATCATATTTTACGTTTCGCAGTGACCACGAAACATGGAACTATTCCTATTCGTAATTCATGCCATCATATTAAAACTAAAGCAGTCATCCTGCCAACAGAGTTTTGAAAGGATGGTATATAAGTCTTGACGGGAACAAAATGTCACCCGCCGTAACAGATCTGCTAAGTTCCGAGGTTTGATTAAAAAGGCCGCCGGGACAGCATATCGATGGCGCTAAGGTAAACTTCAAAGAAGGTAACCTTACTGGATGACTCGGTTCACTAATTCCAAAACTTGCTGATATGATTGTTGCTTCTTCGCAGCGGGCATAATTGTGCGGTGCCCCGAATGTTTGTGGGACTGGCAAAAAGTCCCGCCAAGGTGAAGGCCAGGAGTTCATCAAGACTGGCGGCTTCCTCTATCCGCTGGACAGCCCACAGTTTATCTTCGAGCCCAGTGAGGTATTGGACTAGTTGGTTTTGCATGATTAAAAAACTGCGCTTACTGCGAAATATGAAGTTAATGATGAGACACGAAACTTCAATAGCTTGTAGTGTCTGCTCTCTAGCTTCGCATTTCGCAGTAACTGTAGCGCAGTATCTTAATCATTATTCTTCGAGGGCAGAGCGGGCCAACAGTCTCCCAGCACGTGCAACAGAAATCGCTAGTGGCTGCATCCCCAGTATTATTCGTTATTCCTCGACGTAGCCATAGTAGAGTGACTTATGAACCAGAGTTCTTGCACTTGTCTGGGTGAGGCCCATAGCCAGAATTTTTTTGCTTGGGGGGGGGGGGGGGGGGCAAGGACATTTTTTTGCTGCGGGCCTGGTCTGGGTGAATGAGCTTTGAGATCGCCGGGTTCGCGCAGGCAACCGTCACCAGGCGACTTATGACAGCTTTTGGCGTGGAAGTGGGAAAACGCAACTTTACAATTTGTGGTCGTGCGAGATGTCATGAAAAGATGTATTGGATACAAACAATTTTCTTTACCAAAACTCATCCTCCACAAGCGTACCTATATTGGCAGACTCCCACTTCAACCTATAAGGCAACCGATATCGTTCCCTCGTCGTCGCCACCTGAATCGCAGCTGAGAGGCTTTCCAACAGGAAACACCTAAAGTCATGTTACCTAGCTGTGAATGCGTCCATATCTAACTCGGCGCAGCCAAACTGGGGCAGTATATATAAGCGCACAATGCACCACCCGTGGCGTCGGCGGAGCGTATAATCGGAAATGAAAACGCCACACCGCGTAGCGGTTGGCGCGCACATGTTGCGATACAAATACGGTCGGCTGTGTGTATACACACACACACACACACACACACACACACACACACACACACACACCCAACAGACACAGTGCTTCGTTGCCACGCTGCAGTGAAGCGTCGCGCCGAGTAGCAGGTTCCGCCGCCGATTCCCCAACACCAGCCATCATCGGCAATGAACTGCAACCAACGCCCTGGCGGCACTAGTCACGTGACAAACTCCCCCCCTCCATCACCGACGAACGCACAGAAACAGGAACACTTTGCGGTGTGACGTAGTCGACGACGCTAACCGCTGTTTTCGACGGTCGGAAATGAAGGCTGCAGAGTGAAGTGTCGAGGGCACTCTCACGTCGCCGTCCTCTCCCACGCCATCCTCGTACTTAGGCG